TCATGTATTGTAATTTGTATGTGCAACGTACAATTTCACTTTTTTGTGATTCAAATTTTTCTTTTCTTATTTTTCAAAATGTTCACACTGTCTTTGGAAATTCTGTTTAAATGCCAGAGTTCTGCATTTGTGTGCAACTTGGGATCTGAATTGGATCCTGAAGGGCATGTGATGAATGACATGTGTGATGAATGACATGTCACATGTATGACATTCATGCACATGTTGGTACATGTATGTAATAATATGAAGTTTGTATATTCTTAAATGTCATGTTAAAAGAGAAAATATGCATGCCATCTGGAAAAAACCCATTCCAATTGTACATATTTATTGAAATGTTGGAATTGAATTGTGTCTAGATTGCTGCAGTTTATGCAATTGATTTTTGTTGAATCTCCACATTGTCTGTACAACCCTGTCCTCCTCTGAGCTTGATTTTCCCAGGGATACGCAAAAGGAAATTAGCTCCCCAGCATTTAACCCCCACAGGGTACAGTCGATCAATGACAAAAAAGTATCAATCACAAGCAAAGCTTATAGCCCCGGAAGGGAAAGTGCACTGCAAATTTCCCACCCTGTGACGGTTCCTTCTGGCAGAATCCCCAGTGTAATTATCACATCGTTAGCAGCTTTTAATTAAATAATTGCAGATACAAACAGTATACACAGTGGTGAACAGATCTGATTGTTGTTCTCGCACTTTGTGTCATCTGTGCTTACATGTGGTCAACTGTTTAATTTCCTCGGTGACTGCTGCCGTCCGTTATTGCATATTAATCCCCGTATTTATTAGCATCTGTTGCAGTGCCAAATTATTGAATTCAGCGAGACGTGCATTCATTGTCACTGCATGAATGCAAGGAAAATTGCGCAGTGTCAGGAATAACAACTTTTGGGTGTTTTTTTCCCCTGTGTTGATCGTATTTGGTACGGTGTGTGATTTGCTATATCATTACCGTATTTGGAATCGTAGTTTACATGTAGCTGGGGCTTCAATTTTTTCATTTGGCATGCATATGCGCTGTTTTTGCTTGAAAATTACAGATTGAATGAGCTGTCAGTGTCACACATAACGGTCCTCTGTAGTATTTAAAAAAAAAAATACTATACTCTGCACATCATGAGGCCCATTGAACATGTGGACTTACAGTTACATGTGTAAGAAATGTTACATCAACATCAACATTTTGATGAAATTTGCCGGATGGTAAATTACAAAAGGTCATGGACCATTTAAATCGTCCGTGGTCAGGTGTAACAGGGATACAACAAAGTGTCAAACTTTTGGACCCCAATTTTATGGAATGAGCTCTACAGGACGGCCAACGTAAGAGGTGAGAGTGAGATTTTGGTGATGGAGCTTGATTAGAACTAATGTGAGCGTGAAGCGCGAAACCCTAATGGCGTGGATCAGGGCGAACAATTTTGGATTCTAGACGCTCTGTGGTGCAATCTCAGGCAAATTCTGACCACTTTAATTTTTTTTGCAAAAGATCATCATTTAAAGCCGGAGTCCATCATTTGCAGTTATCCAAAAAAGTAACTGGCGTTATTATTGTTGAAAAACATACTTGGTTGAAAGATAGTAAGGGGACTAAACTCCCTGTGAAATTATTCTTTCTGGCAAGCTCTCATTTTGAAGAAATCAACGAAAGAAGGCATTTCCAACGGTAGATCTATAGTCGTCAGTAACATTTAAAGCTATAGTCCATCATTTGCAGCTATCCGAAAAGTAACTGGCGTTATTATTGTTGAAAAACATACTTGGTTGAAAGATAGTAAGGGGACTAAACTCCTTGTGAAATTATTCTTTCTGGCAAGCTCTCATTTTGAAGAAATCAACGAAAGAAGGCATTTCCAACGGTGCGTCTTAAGAAGCACCGTAGGAAAATTTAAATTAGTAGTTCGTTTTGTTATTCGGCGCAGCGCGCGCAAGCATTTGCACGACGCACAGGCGCGCGCGGTTGCTATAATTCGTCAGATCAGTGCGCGACATCGCGTATAGCTGCAATTCAAAACATGATTTAGCAACTTTTGATTTGAAATTGAGATCCTAGAATGCTGTTTTTCTCGAAATATACAGCTGAAGCTGATCTGAAACTTCATCAGGTTAGTTGTTCAGTATCCTTCATTAGATTGTGAACACTTTTGTTGCTTCAAACGAACAAAATGCACAAATTACAAATGATGGACTAGGTCTTTAAACATCATTGTTGAGTTTTGAGTCAATTATTTATTTCTTTTATGGCGTGAGAAATCGCTTGTGGGCGTGAGAGAATGAGAATAACCTGAAATGGGTGAGTCTCACGCTCAATGCGTGAGACTTACATGTAGGCCTGACTCAGTGTACAGATGGCTGCATCCATTTGTGTGGATATTATACTTTTGTGTACCCAAGACAAGAATGACCCATTTTGAAATATATAAGCACAAGCAGTCCATCCACTTACATGTATTGTTATACACACTTAAAGCCACATTGCTTTTATAATGAAAACCATGTAATCTGGATGCATTGCTTGGTGCTATCGCGATTTTACATCAACCATGCAGCTATAAAAGTAAGCCAGCATGTGGAAAGCCTGCTGCAAGCTTGCAGGCTATCATGCAAGTTTGCAGGCTATTACACAAGCTTGCAGGCTGTCATGCAAGCTTACCGCAAGCTTGCAGGATATCACCCAAGCTTGCGGCAAGCTTGAACCTAAGTAGCAAGCTTGCAGGCTATCATGCAAGCTTGCTGGCTATCACGCAAGCTTGCAACGAGCATGTACAGTACTTTGCTTGCAGAATTAGTCGCAAACTTATTTTAGCTTGTCGCGAGCTGGATAAGATTGTGGCAAGCTCCCTGCAAGCTTGCGGCAAGCTTGCCGCAAGCTTAATTTTCTGTAAGGGATCAACACGGGTCCACTGTAAGTGTACGGTTCACACTAACACTAGTATTCAAATGGGTCAACTGTAGATTTCAAATTTTGTACCCGGGATTTTACCCAGGTAGAGCACCTAAGCCATGTGGAAGCCATGTTGGATTTTTGCCATGGGGAAAGGGATCTACCCAACGTTCCCCACTACCGATGTTCCCCCAAACCCTTAGGATTAGGGTTAGGGTTAGGGCTAGGGTTAGGGTTATATTGGTAGGAATTTCGGGGAACATCGGTATTGGGGAACATCGGTACTGGAGAACATACCGTAGGTATGCACCCTTGTGAAAGCATCCAGTGTGTTGTACCCAGGTCCGACGCACAGATGTTGGATAACATGAAAGGCTCTTTATACATCTTGGACCCTTTACAAAAGTGGCCCACTAGCCTATACCGGTACTGGTACATGCTGTTAAACAATATTAGACACGATTAACAAATTTTGAGATCTATGCAAGTTTTGTTATTGTCGTCATTGTTGAAAAAGTGTTCAGTTCCCAAAATGGAACAAAAACAAAAAACGTTTTCATTTGAATTTAAATTGAAACCTTTACAGTGTAAGACATTAAAGAGGTTGTGGAATGCTCGAAGACATTTCCGTCATTTTCCGGGTATATGTAGCCTAAGGTGTGATGAAATAAAAACGACTATTGTTTCTGTCATGAAATGAGTACAAAAGGTACTTTTGAGAGCTGTTTTTCAAGTCCTGTCATGCCTGTTTCGACCCGAACGTGCAATTTGTTGCGGGCAGCGAACAAAACACAGTAAATCGTGACGTAATAAACAGGACTCCCGATGTAGAGTAGCATTAACAAGTCCTGTTTATTACGTCACAATTTACTGTGTTTTGTTTGCTGCCCGCAACGACGACTTTTACACAAATTGCACGTTCGGGTCGAAACAGGACCTGAAAAATAGCTCTCAAAAGTACCCTTTGTACTCATTTCATGACAGAAACAATAGTCGTTTTTATTTCATCACACCTTAGGCTACATATACCCCAAAAATGACGGAAATGTCTTCCAGCATTCCACAACCTCTTTAAACCACTGAATTTGTGTGAGCTACATGTAAGGATCAGACCAGATAGTCTCAGCGTAATTTTGGCAAAGTTGGGAATAATACAGACACTATCATACTTTTTCTCTTGGGGAAAAGCTACACACAAAATATATCCGGAAAGCAAAGGGCAGTATAGAAATATGCCGGTACATGTACATGTACATGTTAATTTGAGTTACGACATCTGCGTTCTGATGTACTGGTAAATTTATTAAAATTACTTAGTGTCCTTGAATCTTGTTTATTGGAAAGCACGTTAATTGTTCAAGTGGAGAAAAGTGCTGGTACAAAATTAACGTTTCTACAAAAAAGTCTTGTATGCTTCATTATTAAAAAGGACAACGGCAACTGCATGCGTTCAGTATTTAACTCTGTGAAACATTTTCTCAAATTTCTGTATCTTTGCACTGAACCGCTTTCAATAATTTACTTTGTAAACATGCTTAAAGTTAAACTGTTACTTTTACATGTAATACGAAACTGCACAGATACTTGTGAACAAACGATACACTTTATGTTATGGGATCTGTACTCATGTGTCCATACATGTACTTAGTACAAACTCTTAGCTCTAGTTACTCATAAATATTCATAATGTCCTCAGCCAATCATAATGCAGCCAGCTTGAGTTTCCACCCTAACATGTGTCACTGCTATCAGTATCTTTCATCATGCATATGCATGAGCCCCCAATGAACCAATCACGTACCAATGGATGTGTCACACACATCAAGCTGCACCACTGTCATGACTGTGGCGCGGTGGCTGGCCGTGGTGGAGTTCCTTCAGCCTGTCACCGTGTGGATGTGTTACGGCAAGGAAGCTTGTATCTTCGCATCTGTCCGGCAAATAGACATTTTTCGCTAACATTTTTCACTTTTTGGGGGTTCACCAGTAGAACTTGAAGCTGTCACTGCTTGGAATGGTGTGCTTGTTCATCGCAGGATTTTTTCAACAAACGCTTCACAGAGAAAAGCCTAGCTTTGAATGCCACGTTTTTTGTCTTGTCTAATCCAGCTTGTGCGAGGAAGACTGTGCAGCATCCACACTTATTCCGACTTCTTTGGAGTGGGATGACCATTGTCACTGCAGGAGTTTGCGGTTGAAATTGGACCGTATTTTTATAAGGTGAGTGACGAATGGTGAAAGGCACGCTTAACCTACCTTGTATAATATTGACGGCAAAGGATTGATTTTGTGCCGGCTAGAATTTCCTGTCGTTTCCTGATCGTGCATCTGAGAAAGGCAGAATTTCAATGTTTTGACAGTGGCGTTTGTTTGAAAATGTGTTGCAGTAAGCTTTCAGTAGCTTAAGAAGATAATGAAAGGAGAGAAATAATAAAGAACATTATTTGTAGGAAAATACAGGAAATATTGACTGCAGTTTTCAAATTAAATACTAATGAAATAGGTAAATTGGCAGCATATTTCATAATTTTCCTTTCACTTAAAGGTTCCTTCTTCAATGTGATTTCTAGACCAAAATTAGTCAGAAATGAGGAATTCAGCTGAAAATGTCCGAGAGTTTTTGGCATGTTATAGGGAATAGACGATGTTGAGGGATTTTAACAGTACATGTATGCGTGTATGGACATTCAGCAGCTTATAAAACTTAATATTAATTCTAGATTTTTCGATTCCTGAATGTTGTTTTGAAAATGTGCAAAAAAAGGGGGAAATGGATGTGTTTCATGTCTCGCTGTAAGCATTCTTCAAAAATTCAAATTATTTGTCTGACTGCATGATTTCTTATTAAATAGGGTCAACCATTATTTTTCAAGTCTTGAGATATTTATCTCAAAAATGTGGGCACACCAAAATCTTTCTTTGGACCCAAATTTTCTAGATAATGAATTGTGAGACATTGGGCTTGTTATTTGAACCCGATAATGAATTTTTGAAAAGGAAAATACACGTACAGTATATTAAAAAGATTTTTGGTAACATTAAGTATAGCACTTAAAAAAAGTGACATTTTTCCCCCTTCATTTTTCAACCATTAGGAAGTGAATTAAGGTTTTGCCTGTACAGTGTATGATGCATAACATTTTATAACCTAATCTGAAGAATGTTGGCCACTGTTTGAATTAAATTGAGTAGGATTTTTGTTTTGTTTTGGATTTTGTGTTTTTCCGAAAATTGTGTACATTTTTTGTTTCTAATCTAAGTCTTTTTCAAAAGCATTGCAAACTTATCTTGTCTTAGCATTAAAGAAACTCAGGAGTTTAATTCAGTGAATAGTTAAAAAAAACAGAAAATTGGAAAGACTGTTGCATCCTGACGTCAATTCTTTATCCCAATGAAGGTCAGCCATTGCAAAAATGTTGAAAAGACGTGAATCTGGGACTGAGAAACATTTCCAATTGTGTTAGGAAATACTTACAATGTAGACAATTCTCTTGACTCTCCATAGACTTTGTACACAACCGCTGTTGCGTCTGGATACAACATTCTTTCCAGAAATTTTTTAAGAAACCTAAGAACTACTTGTTTTTTATTAAAATTACATCAAACTGACGCTGTGTTTTTGTGGGGATAGTGCATGTTTACTACTGGCTTTGTTTATGTGTGGATGCATCCAGATATATCTGGCAGACATCCGAGTACAACATGTAGGTATTCATATACCGGTACCTCTGGCATTAGATCTGCAGCTTCCCTGCAGTCCCTTGAAATCCAATCTGTTTTCGTCTGGATATTTCCTCCAGAAGAAAAAGATGGGACTTAAAGGGTTGTCTGCAAGGGTTCTCAAATTTAGCATCCCTGCAGTCCATGTGATTAAGTGCTGATGTCATTAATTTACACCATGTTCATTTTACATGTGGTATAATCTAACTACCACACTTTCAACAGCATTACCTTTGATTTAATTAGGTTAGACTGAGTGACATATGTACATTGTAATTGAATGTGCGTACAGTGTGTGCTCTAACATTGCCTACTGTTCTAACATTGCATACTCTACGGTAATGTGGACCTGTGGACAAAAGAGGTCCACATACTGGTAGTGCAGAAGTTTCAATGTTGTGTGGACTTGCCCAGGTCCACACAAGGTTAACCCTCTGGAAAACAGTTTTAGAGGAATTTTGGTGTTAGGGTTATCTGTCGCAAAATGAAGATGAACACTGGAAAAAATGGAATAAATTACCTCATCGTGATCATAAAAAGATCAGCCCATCCTTGGAACATTTTAAATCACAGCTTAATTAAAAGACTTTGTTTGTTACCAGAAACACATCTATTGACACATTTTTGTATAAAGCGCTATATAAGAACAGTTTATTATTATCATTATTAAGGAAATCATGATCAAAAATTTGGGTTGAAAAAGTGTTCACAGTGCGAGTAAAATTGTTTTTTCTCCATTTTTTTTTACACTAAAACAAAGGAATGTCCACATTAGGTATAGCATGTAAGTGTCTGTTCATGCCTACCGGTACACACATTGTATCCACACCATTCACTATTGCAGGTACAGTATAACTTTCCGAAGCTGTAGTGGGAAGAAGTAAGCTAATTGTTGGTTCATGCAACCTGAAACACAAAGTAAAGATGACCGGAAAAAAACTAAGACCAAAAAAAACCCCAAGCTATCAGGGTTTTCAAAACTTCAAACGTTTAAATGTTACTGACGTCTATAGATCTACAGTACTGCGTTAGGTTAAACTTTGTTGTGTAATGAAATTAATGAGCACTGCGCCTGGCGCACAGAGGTTAGGTTTCCCGCACTAACATTTTAGTACTGCAATCTCAATAACAGCTTCTACTTAAGGGGAAATTGTGTGGGGAAAAATTGACATTTTATCAATTCTGGTTGACCTAGTTTCCCTTGAAGAATATCCCCCTTGTGATCTCATTGTGCCTTTCTTGTACTCCTCCACTCACTGTGCAACGTGCTTAGTAGCCAGCTGATAAATCAAACTGTATTCAACCCTCGTGTTTCACTTTATAAGTACAATTTTCTCACGTCATATTTGCTGCGTCCTAACACTTTTTTTTCATGACCGTCACTAGAGATGTGGCCCTTTGACCAGGACATGTTTGGGGTGAAGTGTGCGGACACTTTGGGCACATCAAGCTCTCCGGGCATCATGGGGCAGGGTCCCAAGTGTGGGTTTGAGGACGAAGTACGTACCCATGGTGTGTAAAGGACGCACTCCTCATTTCGGAGTCCTTGTTATCACTTGGGGTAATTTTAGTTAGGAAGGATACAGGTAAAAGCTTTGTATTCCCTGTTGGTTCTGCCCTTTCTCTCTGAACCATCCTTGTTCTTCAGATTTCAAGTGGCCTTTTAATTTCGTGAAATGGTGTCCGTTGCCTAATGCCACAAAATATGGCAAGGGACCAGTCACTTTAGCAGATTTCTCCCACTTTACATGACTTGGACATCCCCACATGTGAACCAGCAGCCAAGCAATGTTTTTTGGGGGGGGGGATTTATTTTGTACAACAGAAAATGGAATAATTTTGTCCATATTTGTTGTGAAATGGATACTTTTTACGTGAAAACAAACTTTTTCCGTTCAGTGTCATTTTTATAAACAGCTTAGGCCTACCTGATGGCAACGTTCTGGCCACTTCACCGTTTCAATTATATCTTCTTCTTTTTTGGTAGCCCTACATGTAGCTTAATAACCCATGATAATGCCCCCCCCCCCCCAAAAAAATACTTCTGCTTCTGATGACATGCCTTTCAAAAATAAGGTCGGTCGGAATTTTTTTTTTCGCCAATTGTTTTTATGCTGATTGAATGGGGTATTCAATTATATGCGAAGTTTTAGCCTGAACTATTTCCATTGCACTACGAAAGCTGTGCAAAAATTGGCCACAAAAAGTGAATAAAACCTACTGTAATTATTGTCAATATATTTACGTTCGATATAATTCTTACAAAATAATGGACAATTTTAGGGTCGCGGCCAAAAAATAGGGTCGGTTGGGTAACCGGAAGCAGAATTATTTTTATTTTTTTTGGCCTAAGATTGAATTGACAGGATGTTGAAGTAAAATGCATTCTGTCATAACTGTCATTCTGTTTTTTTAATGTAAGTGGGTTAACTTTAAAAAGATCATTTAGGAATTGCATGTAAACTTTAAGCCATCAAGATCAAACTTATTATTTTGCCTAATGCTATAAAGAATTGACAACAGTTAACACGTATTTCTTGCAAACCACAGCGGTCATTTGGTGAGGGAATCATGTCTTGTACACAGCCCTTCAATGTTATTTTCTGTTGGCTTGGTAATAATAAATAAAGTTCTGCATGCCTTAATTGTGAACTTTGGAAAAACACACCACTGATCATTTTTGTTTTGTCTATCAGAAATTTAGATGCTACAAAAAACTCACACATACAATGTACAATATAAATGTTACTTCACCCTTGCATGTTGTTAATTGTATGCCAATTTTCCCTTGTAGCAGCTTGCAGATTAGGCTCGTGCAGAGAATCTTTTAAGTAAAAAACAAACAAACTGAGTTTAGTGTGCCCATTCCATGTACAGTACAGTGTATTTCATCAGCCTCATGCAGCAAACCTCACGTTTGCACAATTCCCAGCTGACAATAGTATCCTTGTAATTTTCTTTGCCTACTGCAAAGGCAGAAACCAAATTAACATGCAAGAGAAAATCCCCAGGTACCGGTAGCCGGGATGAGATTTTCTCTGTCTCCTTCGCTTTTCAACTCGGAAAAACCATTGTGATAAATGCCCGGACAATTTTTCTTCGCAGCAGATGCGCAAATTAAGTCAAAAGCTTAGAAACCACGGTCACGGATGCACCATCAGGAACACACAATTCGGTTGTGACAAAGACGCTCAAATTCGGTTGTGAATAGGAAAAGAATTGTGGGGAAAAAATTTGCTTTGTGAAAATCGGCGTCTGCCTTGGGAACTTAACAAATTGAAGGTCACAATAAGTTAGTGGAAAGATCCTTGTGTACGTGGATTCAAAGGTATAGTCCATCATTTGTAATTTGTGCATTTTGTTCGTTTGAAGCAACAAAAGTGCTCAAGATCTAAAGAAGGGTGCTGAACAACTAACCTGATGAAGTTTCAGCTCAGTTTTAGCTGTATATTTCGAGACAAACAACATTCTAGGATCTCAATTTCAAATCAAAAGTTGCTGAATCATGTTTTGAATTGGGCCTGAATTCAGCGTCTGTGACACGTTCTCACTGAGCCGATTGCAGCTACGCGATGTCGCACACTGATCCGACGAGCAACCGCGCGCGCATGTGTGTCGTGCTAATGCTTGTGCGTGCGTTTCGCCAAATAACAAAACAAGCTACTACATGTACATGTACATGTAATTTGAATTTCCTAAGGTGCTTCTTAAGAAGCACCGTTGGAAAGGCCTTCTTTTGTTGATTTCTTCAAAATGACAGCTTGCCAGAAAGAATAATTTCACAGGGAGTTTAGTCCCCTTACTATCTTTCAACCAAGTATAATATTCAACAATAGTTACGCCAGTTACTTTTTGGATAGCTGCAAATGATGGACTCTGGCTTTAAGGTTGCTGTAGAATGTACTGTACATGTACATTGTACATGTCATTGAAAAGCAGATACCATTAAGAGATAGGGAGCTGTGCAATTACGTGAAGAAGCAATCTTCTGCTGTTTACGCTGATGCGCTTGTATCTCTCAATCTGTCCTTTCCTCTCCCCACCTCCAATCCTTCCCTGGGGCCTTCGGGGCTTCCTCCCCCGCTGCCTCCCTGATCTTTCCTTCTGTCTCAGTGACCCTTCTTCCCTTGATTATTCTTTTATAACCCACCCACCGCCTTGCATGTCAGTTCTCATGCATTCCGCGTGGAGATCATCATTTCTTCGATCTTTAACGCTCACCACACAAAATCCACAGATTTCGAGTGACGCCGTCGGTGGCATTTTTTATCTGCATGCAAACGTTGATATCAACTGCATTTTGCAAATTAATGTTTGAACAAAGATTGAAAAAAGTACTACAGGGTGGCGCAGAAAGAAGGGAACCCACTTTTGACAGGAAATTTAACCTACATGTACTTTTTTTTATAATGTAGTCAAGTATAAATCGTCAACTATACGTGGTGAAACAAATTGCAAGAATAGTGTCATTATGCCAATTTGAATACAAGTCACCAAAATCACTGTTGTCCACGTGTACATGTAAGTCCGTCTCAGTCAAGCGGATGGATTAAAGCCGTCCGTGGACAAACAGGTTTGGCACATGAAATTTTTAAACTACATCTCAGAGACAAAGTATGCATTTGCAATCATTTTTGCATCACCTATGCGTAAAGATCAATATCATTAAAAGTAATTTTTCAAATATGCTCAACAAGTAGGTGAAAATTGCTGTCAAAAGTGGGTTTTCTTCTTTTTGCACACCCTGTACTGTGGGGTCATAATTGGGTAGAAAATGATGCAAATGTGGGATATTCTGATTTCTGAACATGTTTCAACTTTCCACTGTTTCCTCACTAAGTTCAGTTTTTGCCAAAAGAATTTCCTAAGATTAAAACGTTCATGCAGCCCCCTTAAATTTAGGATCTTGACATTTATTTTCATGTCTATCTACATGTAGTTGGTAAGAAGGAGCTTTTTATTTCTTACTCCATTTTCGCTGTTTTTTTCTTCTGAGTTACCGTAGTTTCTGATCACTTTATCCTTCAGATTTATTCCTGATTGTAATTCCCAAAGTTTTACAGTTTCCTTTCCATCTATATTTATTATTTTTTCCCCCCTTTGGCCTGCTTTCATCCCATGCACAGGTAGCTGCCCTTGTCAGTTTTCTCCAATGTTTATCTCTCTTGACACTCTTTCAGTTTGTGGCCAATTCTCCTCCATCTATTCCCCATCTGACCACCCACGGTGATTCCGTCACAGAAACCCGTCACTCTTAGATGACAACCACATCCTGTCCTCATCAGGCGCAGTTCCGGGACTAGAAACAAAATATTTTTGCATTAGAGGAGATTCTGTTTGTGTTCTCGTCGCCAGGTTTGCGAGCGCAGCATCGCCAGCGGGCAATCTAGCAGAGCAAACCTGAAGAAGTGATATCCAGGAAGAGAGGTTGAAACGAGAGAAACTAGCGAGATGGCCGGGGGCAGGCTAACAGCGCTCATCATGGTCGTTAACTCCACGCCATCACCATGAAGGTCGGAGATGCGACGGGGACTAGCCGGGAAGGCCGGTATCGCTCTCGCAGGCCGTGGGCAAGCAGCCTGCGCCATCGCTGTTGCTTTGGGTGATTATCCTTCTCATTGTGGCTTGTTCACAAAAGTGTTTATTCTCATGTCACAGAGATATCTGCATGTGTGTATAATGCCAGGCAATTCGTTGTTACGTAGTCCAAATCTCCCCAGGAAGCGTGTGAATTCATGAATTTTTAACCATTCCAGCATTTCTTTTAATCTTATGTAATGATTATATTTGTCCATCTGTGAAAAACACAGCAGATATTTGTTAAACCAAAAATGAAAAAAACTATCAACCCTTCCAAATGAAAATTTTGAAATGGAAGAAAAATATCATGTTATTTTGTGCATAACAATTTATATAACTTTTTTTTTTTTTAAAGCTGTGCACTTATAAAGAAGAGTCGACTTGAAAACAATCAAAAATCTTTAACATAATAAATAAACGGGGAAAAATTGCAATACAGATGCACGTCTGTCTAGGAACATTGATCAAGAGTGCGCCGAACAGCTAGACCATCTGTCAGAAAAGCACCAGACCAGCACTGAAATTATTAGATACAGTCGAGCAGTCCAGTGTACATTACGAGCCCCAATATTCCATTGGAGTCTGTGTATTGTTCTAACTGTTCGATTTCATTACATACCGGGTACAGCCTACATGTACATACTTTGCTCTTGAAGGTTGGCGTTACAGATGTACTGGTCATGCTATTTTTGAGTTGTCACCCCCAAAAGGATTTTTTTATGCCCCGCGGCGAAGCCGAAGGGGCATACTGTTTCCGCCTTGTCCTTCCGTGGGTGGGTGTGTGTGTTAGTGGGTGGGTGGGTGGGTGGGTGTGTGTGTCCGGACAAATCTTGTCAGTGCGATAACTTGAGAAATACTTAACATATGAACTTCAAATTTTGTTTGTGTATTGTTCTTGGTAATCCTAACAACCCTTTTGCATTTGGGGCCGAAAGGTCAAGGGTCAAGGTCACAGTGGCTGAAACAATAGAAATTTTGTCAGTACGATAACTTGAGAAATACTTAACATATGAACTTCAAATTTGGTTTGTGGATTGTCCTTGGTAATCCTAAGAAGCCTTTTGCATTTGGGGCCAAAAGGTCAAGGGTCAAGGTCACAGTGGCTGAAACAATAGAAATTTTGTCAGCGCGATAACTTGAGAAATACTTTACATATGAACTTCAAATTTGGTTTGTGGATTGTCCTTGGCAATCCTAAGAAGCCTTTTGCATTTGGGGCCAAAAGGTCAAGGGTCAAGGTCACAGTGGCAAAAACAAAAGAAATTTTGTCAGCGTGATAACTTGAGATATACTTTACATATGAACTTCAAATTTGGTTTGTGGATTGTCCTTGGCAATCCTAAGGAGCCTATCGCATTGGGGGTCGAAAGGTCAAGGGTCAAGGTCACAGTGGCTAAAACAATAGAAATCTTGTATTTATTCTGAGATCATAGGGATTAGGGATTAATTCATATAAAACCTACAGAAGACACTAATGCTGTCAATGAACGTTCCATTTGACCAAGGTACATGTAAGTTGATGTTAGAGTGGTGTTATGTCATGGAAACAGTCACGGTTGCGGGGCATTTGTGTTTGTAAACACACCTGACTTGTTTTTTAATGTTATTTTTTTCTGAATACAAGCGTTTTTCACTTTTAAATGAGACATCAGATGAAAAAAAAATCAGCCAACATGTAATTGAAAAATTACTGTACAAATTGCAATTTGTTTCTGGTCGACAATAATTTAGTTCTTGTACAGTTGACTGGTTCATCCCAATCAGACTCAGTAATGTACATACATGTACCGAGTACCAGGAACCAGTCAACTAGCAGTACGCATCTGTCTGCATGCAAAGGCAACCAAATAAAAACTTTTTTAAAGGTTGAAGATGCCACAATTTAAAGAAGATGTTTTTGTTGAAATATATACAGATCGAAAAATCATTAGAAGAAAAAAAAATTTCTGATGTGTGGAAGCGCATGCACAATGCACCTATTAGGGGCCTACAGCTTTACCCTTCTATGCAAACACACATTCTGTGCAAAGTTGTCCTTTCAGTCAAAATCAATCAAGTGACTGTTTTCAACTATTAAGAGCTCCCAGCCTATACATACATGTAAAGCAGGGTTGATTGGTTTGATTGTGTTTACAGCTATGCTACATTGTATGACTGAAGGCGATTGATAAGGCAGCTGTGCCTACCGGTACATCTTGCCTGCTTTTGTCTGTTGACTGAATTTGACTAGTCACAGTGTTTGCTCAAAAAGTGGTCTGACTCTTGGTGACTAGCCTGTGTAACAGGCATGGCAGGGAAAGAGGATTGATTTTTTGACGGTCTGTGACTGTGCAGACAGCTAATAGACAGTTAATATACAAAATCGCATTTGTTGAAGAGAAAGGGCAATAAATCTTTAATTTTGTCCGTTATTCTTTGCAATGTTATCTCTCCGTTGCAGCTATGCCCGGCTGATCAGTCAACATCCGATCCTACTCTGTCTGATCATTCTGCTTTGCATCACTGCCTCTGGCCTGCTGGCTTTCCTGCTCTACGATCTCCCTGATTTTGTGGATCCGGTTGCCGTAAGTAGATCTCTTTGAAAATTCAAGAACCCGCTGGAGTGCAGTCAGAGTTGGGGAAGAGGGAAAATATTTGACAATATGGCAACTCGATGTTCTGCTTTTTTTTTTACATTTGAAAAGTTTGTTTGTCCAATGGGATTATTTTTTTCAACGTGTCATCTGATTACATATGTGTTTGGAATTATAGGTTGTCGTAAACATTTCCATTTTTTTTGTTTCTGTAGAATTCCCATCTTATCTTAAAGCCATAGTCCATCATTTGTAATTAGTGCATTTTGTTCGTTTGAAGCAACAAAAGTGTTCAAAATCTAATGAAGGATACTGAACAACTTTTTTACTTGATGAAGTTTCAGCTCAGCTTCAGCTTCATATTCCGAGAAAAACAGCATTCTAGGATCTCAATTTCAAATCAAAAGTTGCTAAATCATGTTTCGTATTGTTTTGAATTGCAGCTTTACGCGATGTTGCGCACTGATCCAACGAATTATAGCAACCGCGCGCGCCTGTGCGTCGTTCCAATGCTTGTCCGGGCTGCGCTGAATAACAAAACGAACAACTAATTTAAATTTTCCTACGGTGCTTCTTAAGAAGCACCGTTGGAAATGCCTTCTTTCGTTGATTTCTTCAAAATGAGAGCTTGCCAGAAAGGATAATTTCACAGGGAGTTTAGTCCCCTTACTATCTTTCAACCAGTATGTTTTTCAACAATAATTACGCCGGTTACTTTTTTGGATAGCTGCAAATGATGGACTCGGGCTTTAAAGTTGCTTCCCCATGCTATCTTCCAAGTTTCATTCCAAAAAAATTGATTCCTTTTCTAAATTGCTATTTTTCTAGCATTACAAAAGTTGTTCACTTTTGAACTTAGAGACTTCAACTGAAAAAAAAATCGGCCTATTCATAGTTATTGAATTATTACTTTACAAATTCTATTTTTTTTTTTACTACTAGACAATAAGTCCGTTCTTGTGAAGTAGGCTGGTTCCCGCCCCACAACCAGTATCGATGTTGTATATGGACCGGGAGCCAGTCTGCTTGCAAAGCTGATCTGTTTGTGCCCAAAACATACAAGCTGAAAATGTATTAATTAAAAAACACAAAAATTCAACTTGTTGAAAAGCACTGGAACCTAACTTAAAGTGTCCCTAGTGGTGTCCAGCCATTCGTCCAGTCTTATTCACAAACACCGTAACTTATCCAAAGCTGATGATTGAAATATTAAAGATGCTGAAACACTGTACTTAACAAGTCTTTTGTTCTGAATAGAGCAGCATGTAGGTAGAGTATATGCCCTTGAAATGGGAAAAATACAAGACCCTTTGCTTGGAAAACACCGGCCACTTTACTTAATTAAGTTTATCTCAGATGATCCCTTGTTATCAATTCAGCTTGACAAATCAAACATCGGACAAGTATTGGAACAGATTTGAAGTATTTGCATGGAAGTAAGGTTATTTGCAGAGCACTGTAGTGCAAGTGGCAGATGATCTTAAAACGTTTGTATTGAAATTGTAGCCTCAAGGAATTTCTCTCAGTTTACTGATGGGCTTTCTTGGATCGGTGATGGCTTGCTCAAATTTACCCCCCCCCCAAAAAAAAAATGTAATTGGCACTGGATAAAAATTGAACGAAAATCATGGTACCAGAAAAGGTTGCATAATGGCGGGGGTAATTAAAAAACAAAGACAATTTATTCAATTTTTCTCTGCATTGACAAAAAGCTTCTTTAACCCTTTGATGCACAGATTATTTGGATTAGATAACATTTCTTGGGCGGCTTCTAGCGACCGCCCTGTGCATTAAAGGCTTAACCCTAACTCCCTAGGCTTTTTTGCAAGGATGCAACCTCAATCCTGCAAAATTCTCCCACTGCCTCCACGTAAAAATTGCATACAGCCTCAATCCTGCAAAATCATCCGTTATTTCTTGACTGTGGTCCTTGGAGGGGTGACCACTGCCTCAATCCTGCAAAATCTTCCAGCATGTCTCTATACATTATGTTCATGCGTGAGTTGGTAAAGTACACGTGTACATTACACGCTACCTAGCCATACTGTGGACAGGTCCATCAAGGGTGTAATCTCATAAGCCAAGCACCAACACTTCTACATGTATGCCCCCCCCCATATCTCCCATCCCCCCCCCCCCCCTTTCCACACACCAAACACCAGATGGTCAGGATGCATTACAGAGACACCGCAGGGGCAATTTATTAGCGCACAGCCAGAATTTGAAACCTGCCTTCACACGTTTGCCAGGGTTTGATATTAAATCTCAAGGATCAGCGAAATGAACAGTAACATACATGTAGGAATGCTGTACGTTATGAGTCAGGTAGTAGTGTGCATTTATGGGTAGTAAGGGAACCGAGTACCCGTAAAACAAACCCAACCCCAAACTTCAAATCCAGAAATTGTCTGAAAGGCTTTACAGCTTGACGTGTAAACTGCAACTTTTGCGAGCGTCATCTGTCGCTTGTTAAAACGTGAAATCTGTTTTGGTTTTCCATGTAGCCTGGTTTTCATTTTGAAAAAAAGTCCCCACAAATGGCATTCAAACTTATCTTTTTCATTGTATGAGAAGTTACTAAATATAAGTAATTTGTAAAGTTGGTTACAGGTACCCGATCCCGTAGTCTGGAACCTGTTCCTGACATCAGCGGTTGGGTACTCAATTGGGTGCCTGGTTCTGATGCATACCCCTGGAATAGTGGAGACCTTATTTAGGAGTAGTATCGGTACATTAACATTGGGATTTAATGGACCAAAGTTATTGTAAAGGTCCTTCACACCATCCAAAATGTCCATGTTGGACCCGGGCCCAGCACAATGATTTCGGGATCCCCTTACTCACAAGTACCGTAGGAATCCAACATCATACATGGCTTCTTCACAGCTCCGATGCTCTACATGGGTAAAGTCATCCCTGGCTGTTTACTCTGCCTTATCTAGCTTCCAGTTCTTGAAACTCAATGGGTCTTGAGTGCTAAGTGGTAACACATAGCAACCAATGAAAACTGGTGTGGAAATGAATGGATGTTTTCATCGGATGACATCAGCCTGCCCCAGCATAGTTTAGTAGTGAGAGAGGCAAGTTTTAAAGAGTGGTCAATGGACTGATCAAGCACTGGAAGTTAAGTCAACATCCAACATACATGTACGAATTCTACATAACAACAGATCCTTTCAATACTCGAGCGTTGGGTCCTTTGTTGAAAACGGTCCTATATCGTACAGTTGTGTGCTTAGTCTATGGGAGAGTGGTATATTACAGGGTCAAAGGGAAACACAAAGCATTGTCCTCGAGAGTATAGTAAAACATGACTGTATGTACATTGTACATGTAAATATTGCAGAGTCAAAGGGAAACACAAAGCATTGTCCTCGAGAGTATAGTAAAACATGACTGTATGTACATGTAAATATTACAGAGTCAAAGGGAAACACAAAGCATTGTCCTCGAGAGTATAGTAAAACATGACTGTACATGTATGTACACGTAAACTCAAAAGCTGTGAAATTTAGTAGGTGCTGAGTACATGTTTATCAAACCCTGATTGTAGTTGTCGCATTCTGTATGTCAGGTGGGTACATCGTCAAAATTTCATTGGGAAAAGATTATACCTTGTTTATATTGTGAGAAATAAAAACAAGTGTTTGGCATTTTCTGACCTTAATAATAAACTGGACTTTGCTCAGCAGACGTATGAAAAATTACGCTATTGCACTGTACCATTGATTAATTTGGCGATGCCCTGAAAATATTGCAGATATCCATTTCACCGGCCCCTTTTAAAAGTGTAAAGGTGAATTGTTCTAAATAATGATTTGTGGAGTGTTCAGAACATCTGTCGTCAAAACAGGATGTTTGTGGCAAATACTCGCTGTTTTCCCCTCAGTTTCTGTACAAAAAATGGAATGAAAACTAACAGATTTTTGTGAAAAGGAAAAACCAAAACATCCAAAAAGGCTGTCAGAATCGGATGTAAATGTCGGACTTGAATGTAAGCGAGCACTGTCGCATATCCATCATTTTTACATAACCAAAACAAGTGCTTTTTTAACTTAAAGAATTTTATTTTTAAATCTGATGTCATGTCACCTTGCTGGGTTTTTTTTCCCGCTTTAATCAACCCCCCCCCCATCCCAATTAAATTTTTGGAATATTCCATTTGGCAAAACAAGCTGCAGCACATTGTGATAAACATCTCCAAATCCAATGTTAACCAGATGTCATTCAGCGCTGCGTCAATTTGTTTGGGGTGATTTTTCCCCCGCTCGGTAATCACTTTAGGAAAAGCCAAACAAGAAGCCTCTAATGTTTTCCAAACACTGCGGAAATAATTTTCCCAACGGCCTGCGGCGTGATTTCACACTAAGTTTACCCCTGCGGCTGCGCACGGCCTCTACACAGACATCAAGCATCCAGTCTGATGTAGACGTTCCATAACAAATAACAAACTTGAAAAGACCCCCCCCCCCCTTTTAAAGTTGTATCCTCATGCTATTTTCGAGTTGCGTCCTGAAAAGTAGTTTCCTTTTCTAAAATGTTATTTTTCCAGTGATCATTTTTTGAATGAGACATCAACCAAAAAAAAAATGGCCAATGTTTAGTTACTGAATTATTACTTAACAATTTTATCGCGGGATAGGCTGGTTCCTGACCCACAATCAGTATAAAAAATGTACGGACTGGAAGCCAGTCTCCTGGTAAAGAGGATCTTATGGTGCCCAAAACAAACAAAACAAAAAGTTTTCAGATAGTTGCAGACGTCTAAACAAGGGAAAAAAGGAAGTTTTTGGTTGGAAAAAACCATACAAGTTGAAAATTTATTAATAGAAAAAAAATTGACAAAACACTTTTTAACAAAAAACTGACACAACATTTGTTCATGAGCTCAGGGAACAAAACTTTAACCCCCCCCCCCCCAATGTAGTATCCAAAGATGTTCTCAGGATGTCTTTCATTACCTGCGTCCTTCCTTTTGAGACTTTACATTA